AAATAAGCATGCAAAATAAAAACTAATTCAAATTAACTACAAATAACTACAAAAAAACATGCAAAATAAAAAATTAATTTGAATAAAATCAACTTAATAATTTCTAGAGCATGCAGGATAAAAAACTATTTCAACTACGGGGTCATCTTTGTCTTCTCCAGCGTTGATCTGAAACAGATACGGTGGCAAATAGATTAATAAAGAGAATTAAAGTTATATCAAGTATTCTCACCTTAATTAAATGTAGATTGTAACATCCCAAACTTTGCAGGTGTTAAAACAAAACAAATCCGGCAGGAATACCATACCAAAAATTTTGTTGTTTCTATGGAATTTAAATTAATCTCCAATTGCTCTAATGTTGCAAGGCAAAGATGTAAACAGCTAATCAAGAGATCAATCCAAGAAAGATGATGCCCATGTAGACATTGGTTGTTTCAGTAGGACCAAACTGAACTTTATTTCTTTCCCATTTGTTGAACAATCTGCAGAAATGAACAAAAAACGTATTAATTACACTATTAATTACGGAAGGCATTAAACACCTGAATTAAGGTACCAATTAATTACACTCACATAAATAACATATGAAATACAACAAAACATGCATCAAAACGCAAGTAAAATGACAGAATTATAAAATGGCGACAAGTGTCAATTTGCATCATAGCATAGAACTAATCATAGATGCATACAGAGCTAATTTATGATTTAGACAATAGATAATTGTTAAAAGAAATACCAAATATCACAGATTCACGTCTAAGTTGCTGTGGGTAATATATAACTGACAGAAGGAAAACCATAGATGCCAAAGATTACAAATTACTACGAAAATAAAGTACAGTAAAACAATTGCTTACCCCGAGGATTACCGAAGGTGCTCGAGTTTTATTCCTAAGCGTTGACAGCAGAGAGTGCTTCTAACAATAGATACTTTTGAAAGGAATAATGATACCATCGATAGTGAAATGAGCCACAGAGCAGAAGACACAAATCACGTGCGCAACCTTATATACATCAGTGTGAATTGGACTGCATGTTTTTTTCTAAAAAACATTTAAGGGGCTTCATTTCTCCACGTTTCGAATCCTTCTGACTTGTCTCCTTGTTCATTTAACGTGTTTAAATGATAACCTGTTGAAGCAATTTAATGTTACTTTCATCTTAAATATTATGTATTAAAATATTAAGAACTATAACTACTATCAGTAAAATTACAAAATATCAAACTTAATCATTAACTACTACAATTCAGAAGAGTAAAAAAATGTAGTGGTAATTATTGTCAAACTAACGAAATACAAGATTTAAAAATTCACAAACCATTTCATAAATACAACTGTCCTTTCCAAGTCCAAAAGGGGAAAGTATGAGTGGGGCTCTGTTTCTCCACGTTTCAAGTCCTTTTGATTTACCTCCTTATGTTCATCTTTATTTTTTAATGGAAACCTGTTGAAACAATTTAATATTACTTATATGTTCACTAGGTTTTGTTATTTTATTATTGATGATAATTACCATTGTTAACAATGTCCAATGAATTTTTCAATCAGCTCATTAGAGGCATTTTTGGAAATAAAATAAGTCACACTGTCACAGACATTACATCTGTAAGTAGTTTGTCCATCCAATCCTAGGTTGTTATCACACAGCAAGCCTGTATTATTAAAAAAAAAAAAAACAAGTTAAAATCCAAACTCTAGAATAACAAGGCAAAAATGAAAATTTTTATAACAGAAATATAGAATTTTTGAAGGCAGAGTAATATTTTTGAGAAATATTTTACATATTCTGGCTATAAAACGAAGGCAATTTTTTGAGGCGTGGTCACACCGATACGAAAAATCTACAATCATCGTCTAAACCTGTTTTGAAAATTTAAAAATTCTAACAAAACCATAATTATTCGACTTCAAATAAACTAAGGGTTTATAAAAATTCACAGTAGATGAACGAACAGGCAAGATGTCAAGACTCCAATGTTGATGCACGAAGACATCACTTCAAAAAAGATCTAAGCAACGGTAATCGAAACCCATAAATCACGAAATAGAAACATATTCCACACAATCAAATGAAAATTGAATAAGGACTAGGGCTAAATACCTTTAGACGTCGTCTCCATTTATAGAAAACATAGACCAACGGACAGCAAACACGAGATACACTCATGCACTGCATACTGCTATCTGCTGCTGTCAGGCTTGCAAGAATATTCTAAAGCTATGCCCGAAACGGTGATGACGTAGAACGGTACGCAGAAGCATCATATTGTACTTCTGCGTCGGTTATTATTATTTTTGTAAGAGATCGTTTAAACAACATCTTGCCAAGCTAATAATCTCAAGAGATAACGATATAAGATAATACGTTCAAACAGTTCCTTTCACCGTGTCTCTTTACCCCGCTTCCTCAGCTAGGTTAAAAGCAATTTCGTTTGAAGAATAAACGATAAAAACTCATAAAAGCAGACACGAATTCAGGAAAATATTTCCACTATTAAATTCAAACAGAATTTTTATTATTCATTTTCATTGAATTAATTCCGAAAATAAACGAAATTTTGTAATTAAAATTCAAGTATAGTTAAGTATTTATACAGGGTGTTTCGCAACTGAAGAGAAAAAATGAAATGTTATATCAAAAA